CCACTGGCAAACTACCTGGGCGTACCGAAATAGAGACCCAGCCCATTTATGACGGGTGGTTACTTTCTGGCGCCAATTGTAAGTGTATATAAGGGAGGGGACGACGGGAGGGTATTTGCACACTACTATGCCCTTGAGAAAGGCGGACATTAGGCCGAAACGCGTGTTGGGCTCCTTTTATATGTGTGTGGGGGGGTGGATTTGGGCAACTAGCTTCCATCTATTGTTTGAATTATAGTTCAGGGTCTTTGACCTATTGAACCTTTTCTATTGCCTCCTCACTTTATTTTTCATTCTCTTCACTGATATCTTTCTGTCCTTTCGATTTACCAACTTTGATAAGATACTTGGAGCCATTATGGCCAAGATATACCTATTTGTACTTGTAGTAAACCATTAGAACGTAGATATTTTTATGTTTAAATTTGGATATTTAATAGTGAAGAGTATATTGGTTTATCGCAGACAGATTTGAAGGAACTGGAATGTATTTTCAGCCTGTCTCTATTATATTTATATGTGCTACTTTCTGGATACTGTTGCTAATTTGAAGTAGCTTTTTTTCACTACTTCTTTACTGGAATTTTAGCAACTTAGTATCGAGGTGCATTATCCGGATATGTGCACTTCAGGCTGACTTTCTATGTTCCTTTATTCCTAGTCTGTAGCAGTTTGGTGTATTATAGAATTTATATATGGGACTTTTAATGATTTCCAATAAAACTTTATTATTTTTTCACTTTGTGTAATACACGGTAGTGGGCAAATATATTTCTATTGCTCCAGAGGGGGTACTAGTCCTGAGGGGATTTGTTTTCCGTGTTTTAGGGACTCTCGCTCCTCATTCTTTCTGTATGTTTAAGAATTGACAGAGCAAAGAGAGGAGGAGGTGTTGTTATTTATGTTGACAATTCCATAACGTTTACCCCCTTACAAACTTTAGCCCTCCTTCCACCTTTGATTTCCATTCTGGCACAATTGAGATCCCGTGCAGTAAATCAATCATTGTTGCAGGAATCTACTGCCCACCTAGCTCCCCAGTGCATTCCCTATCTGACATAGCCCATCTACTTATTGAAACCATAGTTCAAAACCCAAAAATTAAACTGTTGGTCTTTGGAGATTTTAATATTGATTGGCTGAATCCTAAAAATAAGTTATTGCTCACTGTTTAAGACTTTGCAGCTAACACAATTAATTTCCTCCCCAACTTGCATAGACATTAAAAGCCATAACCATACCCTCCTCGATTGGATTCTCTCCACTTCTCCTGATAGAATCCAGGAGGTTGGTGTTCTCCCTAACAGTTTCAGTGATCACTGTTTAGTGTACTGCGTGCGCAAAATAAAGGCTACTAAATCCTCTCCCAAGGTTAATATCACCAGGTCCTTCAAACATTTTTATGACTTTAATAACCTCCCATGGCACAAATTAAACATTATCCCAGATCTACACCCTGTTCCAAATTATTATGCAAATTCTATTTGTTGCGGAGCTGCAATTTTATAATCCCAGGATCTCTGCTGGTAGAATGCAATAACCAAGTACAAAGCTGGAAGCAGGCAATATTCCCAAATCCTCCCAAGAACCAGACGAAACACAGTCTGAGAGTCAACTGCCACTTTATTCAAAAAGACTGATATTTAAAGCAGGTCACTCAACTGTCACTTTATTCAAAATAACTGATATTTAAAGCAGGTCACTCAACAGGGGTTTCCAAAGATGGGCAGCAGGGGTTTTGGTTGAGGGGACTGGAGGGAGACTACCGTTTCCAGGTCCTCCTCCCAACAGCCCCTGCTGTAACATACAGTAATGAAAACTACGAGGACATAAACCGTTACCTTTCTACTTCAAAATATACAACTTAGTCAGTTTTAATAGCAATGCTAACGAATGGGGAGGATTCGAACAGACATACACAGTACAGCATAAATTAAACATAGCCGGAGACGCCACACTATACCGGCGCGCAGTACACAACAGAAAATAGGCACAACCATTCTATCTTAGGCAGTCCCAAGTGGCTAGGTTTGCCACACTATTTATATGTCACAAAGATTAAATATTTTGTTTTTCAGTTTAACTCATGGATGGCATTGTGTCTCAGGTTTCTTTTGATCACTGAAAACAATCTCGGACACCTGTGATAATTAGATTGCCAGGTGAGCAAAATTTAAAGGACCACTATAGTGCCAGGAAAACATACTCGATTTCCTGGCACTATAGTGCCCTGAGGAAGAGGAAAAGGGTTAAACTTACCTTTTTTCCAGCGCCGGGCAGGGAGCTCTCCTCCTCCTCTCCGCCTCCGATCCTCCTCTTCGGCTGAATGCGCATGCGCGGCAGGATCTGCGTGCACATTCAGCCGGTCTCATAGGAAAGTATTCATAATGCTTTCCTCTGGACGCTGGCGTCTTTTCACTGTGATTTTCACAGTGAGGAGCACGCAAACGCCTCTAGCAGTTGTCAATGAGACAGCCATTAGAGGATTTAGAGGCTGGATTAACAATATTATAAACATAGCAGTTTCTCTGAAACTGCTATGTTTAAAAAAAAAAAAGGGTTAATCCTAGAGGGACCTGGCACCCAGACCACTTCATTAAGCTGAAGTGGTCTGGGTGCCTAGAGTGGTCCTTTAAGGAAAAACTACTAAAGGAGGGTGTTCCACATTATTAAGCAGAGCACCATTTTCATGCAATATGGGGAAGAAAAAGGATCTCTCCGCTGTCGATAAGTGTGAAATAGTTCAATGCCTTGGACGAGGTATGAAAACATTAGATATTTCACGAAAACTTAAGTGTGATTATCGCACTATTAAGAGATTTGTGGCTGATTCAGGGCACAGACGGGTTCATGCAGATAAAGGCACATTGAGGAAGATTTCTGCCAGATCCATGCATCGGATCAAGAGAGCAGCTGCTAAAATACCATTACATAGCAGCAAACAGATATTTGAAGCTGTTGGTGCCTCTGGAGTCCCACAGACATCAAGGTGTAGAGTCCTCTAGAGTCTGGCAACTGTGCATAAACCTACTATTTGGCCACCACTAACCAATGCTCACAAGCAGAAACGGCTGCATTGGCCGAAAAATACATGAAGACTAATTTTCAAACAGTTCTGTTCACTGATGAGTGCCGTGCAACCCTGGATTGTCCAGATGGATGGAGTAGTGGATGGTTGGTGGACGGCCAGCCTGTTCCAATGAGGCTCCGATGTCAGCAAGGCGGTGGTGGAGTTATGTTTTGGGCCTGAACCATGGGAAGAGAGCTGGTCTGCCCCTTTAGGGTCCCCGAAGGTGTAAAGATGACCTCTGCAAAGTATGTGGAGTTTCTGACTGACCATTTTCTTCCCTGGTACAGAAGGAAGAACTATGCTTTCCGTAATAAAATCATCTTCATGCATGACAGTGCACCATCTCATGCTGCAAAGAATACCTCTGCTTCAATGGCTGCTATGGGGATAAAAGGAGAGAAAGTCATGGTGTGGCCTTCATCCTCCTTTGACCTCAATCCTATTGAGAACCTTTGGAGCATCCTCAAGCAAAAGATCTATGAGGATGGGAGGCAGTTTACATCCAAACAGCAATTCTGGGAGGCTATTCTGACATCTTGCAAACAAATTCAAGCAGAAACTGTCCAAAAACTCAAAGTTCAATGGATGCAAGACTTGTGAAGCTGCTATCAAATAAGGGGTCCTATGTTAAAATGTAACGTGACCTGTTAAAATAGTTAAAAAGTTAAAATGTTGTTATAAGTTTGATTGAAATAGCTTTTGATTTCAGTAAATATGCTGCAAACACAACAAATGACAATTTTCAGTTCTTTGCAACCTATAAAGTGTTTAGGCCCCAGGGAGAGTGTGCAGCTTAGCGGACAGGGGCACATGTATGAGTGTGGGATGGATGATGCATGATTGGCTATATGCTACATGTGGGAGTGTGAGATGTGAGGAAGTGTGTGGTGACAGATCAGACTGAACTCAGTGCCACTTAGGAGCCGGGCCAGCAACAAGTTTCTCTGCCTCCTCCTGTTGCTGGGCTTGCTGGATTTTCTGCCTGGGGCCCTGGATGCTGGATCCTGGTTTTACAGCCATCCTGTCTGCCCTCAGGGCTGGTGCTGCTGCAGACAGTGGCCTCCTCCATCCCCAGCGGCCTGGCGGTGAAGTTCCCCTCGCCAGCGGTCTGGCTCTCTCTGGGCACCCCCCCTGTGTCTCCCTCCCTGGGCACCCTCCCTGTGTCTCCATCCCTGTGTCTCCCTCTATGGGCTCCCTGCCTCGTGCTCTGTGCGCCCCAGCTCTCCTCCTCGGGCCTGGTACAGGATCTGCAGCCCGGACCCGAGGCTTCAACTGGGCCGCGCGCCTGGACCACGTGGCGCGTGGCCTGCTCCGTGCCCGGTCCTTCCGCCGCCCCTGGTGTCCAGTGGCGGCATCTGCTGTGGACCATGCCCCCCCTGGAGGTAGTAGGGGGGGCGGATGCTCTGCAATCAACCCGGGCGGTGTGTGGGATGCCGCCTGGGTCCTCCCCTCTAAGCTGGCAGTGGTAAGTGGGCCCACACGGGGTGGCTCTCGGCCGCTGCCGCCGGGTGGGGAGGGGTCCTGTATCCCCCTCATGGGCTCCAGGGGGGTCTGCTTGTCCCAGCCCTCCCCTCCCTCTTTTGCCCGGGCAGGGTCCGCGGGCGATGTGGGCTCCCCCCCCCCTCCAATGTTTCTCCCATCTCTTGTGTCCCCCCTTTCTGTGTGGTGTCTCCCTCTTCTATTGTTGTGTTCCTCCTCTTTCATTATTGTCCTCCCCCTTTTTTTGTTCCCTCCTCTTTCTCTATTGTCTCCCCCTCCTCCTTGTTGACCTTCTTTGCCCCCTCCACCCCCCCCTCTCCTTACCTGTCTCGGCAGCCTCCTGTCCTGGAGCGTTGCCGGATCCGTCCAGCAGGTGGCGTCTGAAGCTCCAGTTGCCATGGGAACTGCGCTGCAGGTGATGGACTCCTTTTTTCAAGCTGCTGTCTCTTCTATGGTGCCGCCAGCAGTTCCTGGGGTGCCGTCAGGTGAGTAATGTTTCCCTGTGCTGGCTGGAACGACCTCCCGCACAATTTAAAATCATCCCTAAGCCTAAAGTCCTTTAAGAGATCCCTCTCTACATACCTCAAAACAGAATGCACGTGTCATGATTGATTATATATTTCCTGCCTGTTCTATGTTAAATTTTGTATATATTGTGTATTAATATTGTTTTTGTATTTTGTTGTACCTAATGTAACAATGCAATGATTTGTGGACCCAGGACATACTTGAAAACGAGAGAAATCTCAATGTATCTTTCCTGGTAAAATATTTTATAAATAAATAATGGAGTGAACAACAGCTTGTGTTATGTCACCTGATGTCATTCTCGGTCATTTGACAAACTATGATACACGCATGATGTGCCTAAACTGTATGCGCTGAATCCGGCCCTCGGCGAAGATATCACTCGCCATCACAACTGTCCTTATCGATCCTGTGTGTGAATTTCTAATCTGTGTTTTACATGGCTTTTAACTCTTTGAGCAGCAGGTACATTGCATTTAGGTTTCTGGCTAAATGACAAATTCTTCCAGTGTTTTCTGAAAGTTTCCCGAAGTATTTCTTCACCTAGAATGGCGGTGTGAGCACAGCGTAGGAATTGTGGTTTCATGATAAACGCTCCACTTTTATTAAAATACCAATAACATAGATTTATTTTCCATCTGCGTTTTAAAAAATCTGCCAATTTCTAATAACTGGCCAGTTTAACTCGCAATTTCTCTTTTCGTCCCAAGACTCAGAAAATATACCTGAGAATCTGCCCATTCACACTGAGAATATGCCCATTCACTCTGAGAATCTGCCCATTAACACTGAGAATCTGGCCATTCACACTGAGAATCTGCCCATTCACTCTGAGAATCTGCCCATTAACACTGAGAATCTGGCCATTCACACTGAGAATCTGCCCATTCACACTGAGAATCTGCCCATTAACACTGAGAATCTGCCCATTCACTCTGAGAATCTGCCCATTAACACTGAGAATCTGCCCATTCACTCTGAGAATATGCCCATTCACACTGAGAATCTGCCCATTCACGCTGAGAATCTGCCCATTCACACTGAGAATCTGCCCATTCACTCTGAGAATCTGCCCATTAACACTGAGAATCTGGCCATTCACACTGAGAATCTGCCCATTCACTCTGAGAATCTGCCCATTAACACTGAGAATCTGGCCATTCACACTGAGAATCTGCCCATTCACTCTGAGAATCTGCCCATTCACTCTGAGAATATGCCCATTCACACTGAGAATCTGGCCATTCACACTGAGAATCTGCCCATTCACGCTGAGTATCTGCCCATTTACCATGAGAATCTACCCATTCACGCTGAGAATCTGCCCATTCACTCTGAGAATCTGCCCATTTACTCTGAGAATCTGCCCATTCACAGTGAGAATCTGCCCATTCATGCTGAGAATCTGCCCATTCACGCTGAGAATCTACCCATTCACATTGAGAATCTGCCCATTCACACTGAGAATCTGCCCATTCACTCTGAGAATCTGCCCATTCACACTGAGAATCTGCCCATTCACACTGGGGATCTGCCCATTCACAATGAGAATGTGAACACTCCATACACACTGTCACTATTGCACCTTGAACCTGTGATGTTACAGAGGGTGTGTGAGGTTCAGTGAATTATCTTCAATGATTTCTACTCCTAACGCGTAAACCATAACTCTCAACGTTTAAAGCAATCATTGTAATGGTGAGATAACTGACAGCTGTAGTTCATTGAACTGCACTTAAAGGAACAGTCGATAAAGAAAGGAATAAAAAATTTTACAGTTTAGCAGACATTTAGATACTTGGAATGTGTTCTGTGATGGTCCATGATATCCAGGCTTGCAATAGCTGCAAGTTCTCCCCTTCATACAAAGTGTCCATTCGCAGTGCTCCTTTACTATTAATAAACAAAACCAATATAAAACTGTGAGACGTTTAATAAACATTTCGAGATGATATAAAGCATTGTGTTTCCTTTTGTGTAAGTAATTTCTGTGGATTGGGAGTTTAGCAAAAGGATCTATTCTTGTGTTTTTACCTCTGGCAGCTTGAAACGCCATCTAGGTATCAGTTAGAGTCAACCTCACAGCCTATCCACCTGTACACCAACTGCCACCTACCTGTACTCTCCCAGCCTATCCACCTGTACACCGACTGCCACCTACCTGCACTCTCCCAGCCTATCCACCTGTACACCGACTGCCACCTACCTGTACTCTCCCAGCCTATCCACCTGTACACCGACTGCCACCTACCTGTACTCTCCCAGCCTATTCACCTGTACACTGACTGCCACCTACCTGTACTCTCCCAGCCTATCCACCTGTACACCGACTGCCACCTACCTGTACTCTCCCAGCCTATCCACCTGTACACTGAC